GCTTTGAATGCCTCCACTTTTTCTTCATTCCAATTTGTAAGGTGACCATCTTCAACAAGTATCGGTCCAATGTTTTCCTTAGACCTCCTCTTGCTATTAATGTACTTCAAAAAGCCTTTCTTCTTGTCTGACACAACACTGGCCAGTTTCAACTCTAATTAAGCTTTGGCCTTTTGTGTTTTCTCCATGCATATGCGAACCACAGCTCTGTAATCTTCCTGCGAAGCCTGACCTTGCTTCCAGAGATCATACAATTTCTTTTTCCTCCTGAGTTCCAAAAGGAGTTCCCTATTCAGCCAAACTGGTTTTCTGTGCTGCTTGCTTGACTTTCAACACAATGGGATTGCCTGCTCTTGTGCTTTTAACAGGTGATTCTTAAAAACTGATCAGCACTCAAGGACTCCTAAGCCCTCAAAAGCAGATTCCCAGGGGACACTGCTAACTAGCTCGCTGAGTAGCTTAAAGTTAGCTCTCTTGAAATCCAGGGTAGCAACTCTGCTGACCATTTTTCTCATTACATCAAAAATTTTACACTCAACCATTTTGTGATCACTGTGGCCAAGACAGCCACCTACCATCACATCTCCCACAAGTCCTTCTCTATTCACAAATAACAAGTCAAGGAGGGCATCTTTCTTAGTTCGCTCACCGAGTACTTTTGACAAGAAATTATCTTCAACATACTTCAGGAATTTCCCAGACTTGCTCGTCACAGCAGTACGGTATTCCCAGTTGATGTCTGGGAAGTTGAAGTCTCCCATAAGGACAAGGAGAGAAGACAACTGGAGAGAAGACAGACCTGGAAAAAGACTGGGGAGTCCTGGTGGACAAGAAGTGGAATATGAGTGAGCTGTGTACCTTTGAAGCAATAATCACATACTGGACCGCCTTAGTAGAAGCACAGCTACCAAATCAAGGCATGTTATTATTCCTTTCTACTCAAGCAAACCACATCTGAAGCACTGTGTCCTTCACTGCAAGTACTGTGTGAGTACAGTGTGAGTTCTGAGGAATCTGCCTTAAAGGAAAAGAGACAAAACAATGCACCCAGTTCATTCATCTAAGACTGCTGCAAATATTCAGATCTGTATCAAGCTACTGAAGGCTGAAGATGAATTTTGATAAATACCCTGGAGTAACAAGATAGATAATTCGTTTAGCTTGTCTACCACTCAGGAGAATCAAATTTGGTTGAGAGCCTGACTGACCTGCAAATGGATTCTAACCTAGAAATAGGAAAGACAGGGCAACTGCAAGAACTTGCGTCTGCTGGCACTTCCAGAAAGTTGCCATGGCAGGAAGTACAGCTTACCAAGATAATGCCTGCCACAGTTACTCTTCAGTACTGCCACAGGTACATTCAACCTTTAAAGGCAAGGAAGTCCTCCTAGGAGCTTACAACCTAAGTAAGGGCTTAACCAGATGAACAGTGCTACTGACCTCAATAGGAAAATCTGATAAATTATCTTTCCCTGCCCCCAGAGAAAAATCGTGTGAAGTCTGGCACCCACCCACCCCCCTGCCACAATGAGTGAGATGAAGGCCGTTGATTCCCTAACACCTCAAACACGTCTCTTTTAAAACTTTTATAACTGTCCTGTCACCACAGAAGAAACAGAACTACTCTGAACAATACTCAGAATGTAGCAACACATATATCAGAATTGGTTTTAAAAAGGGGAATACAACAGCCAAAATTTAAAATTTTAGCTGAACACTCAGTAATCTGAGTAAGTCTGTTGAATAGACTCAAACCAAGAGAGGTTGTGGAGGATCCTTCATGAGATTAAGAACACTCAATTGCACAAATGCTCTTTTAGGGAACCACTCCCTGCCACTGAAACAGCCTGCAAGTTAGGTTACAAGGCTTCCAATCCTAAAATTTATCTGCAGGTTGTCAGGAGAATGTGACCACCTTTCCCCTTCACTGTGTTCACGAGTACTAGATAGTCAAGCTACTACTCTTCAGGTTTACCTTCTCTTTGTATGTTCTAGATTACAGGCCCTCCAGCGCTGAGGCTTCCTGTGCTACCTCTTAAGTACCATTGCTCAAAATAAGTACAAAATAAGACAATCCAATGACTACTTTAAAACAGGAACACTCCTCTCTCCACAAAACCCTTACAGCTTGTCCTGTAATCCAAACTGACCTCTGTACTCCTTCAGCAAGGTAAAAAGGCTTTCCCTGTTCTAATTAGTTCTAAAACTTACCACCACCAAAAAAAAAAAAGTTTTGAGATGGATTGGATTTACATGGACGGATCTGACAGTTTGCTTGGGCTGCGAAATATAAATCCAATCTGGATCTCTCCCCAAGAATAAGTAGGTATTAGGGGATCAGACACAGACAGTGTGTCTGTAGTATAACTCTATTTGTCAATCATGATTTAGTGAGTCATTCAATTTTTGTTTTGTGTATGTTATGACCACTTAACATTTTAATACAGAGTTAAATATAAATCACCGCTTTATATCCTCACAATCAAATCTGTCCCTCAGCTATCGGATTTATAGGGAGAGCAGAACACTGCAAAACCACTAAAAACATGCAAATTTTGTTATCTACTTAAGAGTGCTAGCTGCACCTCCACATTCAAAATGAATTTTACAAGCTTAAATGGTCCTGTTTGAAAGCTCCACCCAGTGAGGAAAGCAAAAAGAATTCTATGCATACAAATATATCCTATTTTTAAAGGATTTAAGAAGCCATGAGGCCACCTGTTCCTTGACACATGCTATGTAGGTATATATTCTAAAAACACAGCCGAAAATAAGCTCCAGACAGAGTAATTCAAGAAAAGTAAGTGGAGCGTGATCAAGAATTCAAGAAAAGAGAGGGAAGAAATCACTCTCCATATATTCTGCAACATAGAAGGTAACAGGGGGCCAAGTGGAAGTGCTATGAAAAGAAGATAATCTCTTTTGTGTATGCTGCAGAGTAAAGTACAATCATCAGTAGGCGGAGACACCTCCAGTAGATATAGCAGACAATACTTTTTGAAGGGAGGGAAAACATGAGACAATACCCAGAATGCTCTGAACTCAGGTGATACTTTAAATGGCTTTTTTGTTCAATGGCATGTTAACTTCAACGGCAAGCGTCCTTTAGAAATGCTAACAGTCATTTTTTAATTTATACACGGAGAAATTGAAGTTTTGTATATCCTCTACCATACTCCAAGGATATTCAAGGGCCCAGGTTCCTTTCCAGGACACCAGCTTGCACATTTATGTCCAAGTAGTCCTCCCAAACCCCTATCCAGTAGGAGGTTTAGGAAAGAACATGCAATACACAAGCAAGACTAAAGACATTCAGAACAAGGGAGAAGGAAAAGGTCTAATGGACCATGCTGCCAGTGAGCCAATGGAAATTTCTGAATGGACAAGCACCGTATTTGCTTTGCTAGAAGCAACATGATTTGAGTCCATTAGCACATGGCCTGAAAACATTCTGCTAATACAGAATTCAGGTTCCATGTTTCAACTTGTTTGCATTCACCCCTCATTCCCCAGCCAAGAAATCCTCCTGGCCTGGAGGAAAGCAGGGGGAGACTTTTGCCTCTTTGGGCAGTAGTGGGACTTCCACCCAAAAAAAGGCCAAATGCACAAACAAGCAACATGTCCAGGGAGTGAATAAAGATCTGAAAACCTAAAAGAATCTGTACATGACCCAGCACATATGAGCTGGCATCAGGGAAGGAGATGAATGCATAATAAATACAGCAATAGCAAGAACATTTTTAAAAGCCACTGCGGTCCCAACACTGATTACCTTTTTTTAAACATAGATTCACAAACATGATTTAGATATGTGGGGCACGCAGATCAGTCTGGATGATGGCACGCATCATGCACCAATACTGAAGACATCACTACTGCCAAACAAGACATTTGGTGAAGACACACACCAGAGTCAAACACTTCCAAAATCCAGCAAGTTTTTAAAGTTGCAATGCTTCCTTTTAGCTGTATCCAGGGCTCTTCTCTGGTGGCATTTTAAAAAAGTTACTGGAGGCAGCAATAGTGGCTTTCTCGGCTGCTGGTGTTTTCCCTGTCCACTCAGAGTTCTGGGATCTCAGGGATGATGTTGCTGGTAGCTCTGACTCTGCTGCATCCATGTGGACAGATAAAGTTGCTGGAATATAAAATTGCAGGAAAGGGGGAACAGAGGAAGAGAGTAGGAAAGGGCAATAAAAAAAAAAAGTTAGAACAAGTGACTTCATGGCAAATGCCTCATATATATATATATATATAATTTCTTATATGAAGGTGTTATTTACTGAGTTCCTACCAGTTCCCCTGCCAAATTCCTTTGAAATATAGGTTCTTGATAGCATTAACACCTTTGCCCTAATTATTCTCACACTCAGAACTCCAAGTTCCTAGTCCACTAACTAGTTCCCTTAGTCAAAGTTCCTGTTGAAAATCAAGAGCTTTAGCTGTCCCATACTTAATCAATTCATAATCACTCAACTGAAGATAACTCGATCTCTCCACAAAGACTAAATTAACCCTGTATCTGAGAATTTTGAAATCGCTGAAAGCTTGGCAAATTTCAGGTTGCAAAGGTCAGTTAAAGAGGAAAATATACCTCTCCTCTTTACTCAGTAAAGGCAGTACCATCAACCTCCACATATATCCAATATGGTAAATCAGCATATTATAACAAGAAGGTACTTGCTAAGCTAGGTTGGAATCCATTCTCATTTTCTCAGTACAACCACTGCTTCAAAATGGGACAGGCTATAATTAGCAAGAGAGATTTGCAGATCCATAGCTCAACCCAACAGTCACCCAAATTTCCAGAAGGATTGTCAGAAACCTAGAGATATGCGAGTTTACTCCCATTTTCAGTATCCTGAATCACTCAATCCTCACAAGCAGAACAGAGCAGGATAAAAAAGAGTAATTGCCACAGGAGTCTTTGGGGCAACTGGAATTTTTTTGAACAAGTAACTGCTTCAGTACGAAATACATCTCTCTTTCATTGTATTCTCACAACAGATTAATAGTTGTTTGTGTGTTTTTATTACAAGTTGTGTCTGCTGCTCTGTAGTGGATGAAGGATAAAGAGGCTATAACAAGCCTCAACTAGAGGACTGATTGCTTTGAAGTTTAAACAAAATCTCGTTCAATGCTTGAGGTTCCACACTCAGTAGATCTGGAACCCCAACAATCCTGCTTCTGTACATCCAAAACAGTGAATCATTCCCATACAACCACAACAACACAGTTGATAACAGTACATTGCATATTTTACCTCTAGCCCATCAACTTCCTCCATCTGAAGGTCATATGAAAAATGCAAAAAAAATGTAAGTCAAAGTCCTTAAACTAATAATCACCACCAATACTACACTATGGGCCCCTCGGTAGCAGCCTCCCCACTTAGGGTCTCCATCTTTGCTCATAAAAAGAAAAAAAGCAAAGGACTAAACAGGCTTCTTGCTACTGGGTACCATCACACCATGACAAAGAGTGAATGTATTAGCAAGAAATAGGAGAGGGAAAATTCACTGAATTGCTACTACTCATCAGACTGTTCTCTGAGAAGCAGTTTCAGAGGCTGCTAACTGGCACCATTTAGAAATTATTATTTTTCACAAGCTAAATGTGAACACATGCCAAGGCAGACAAAATTCTATTTATGCAGATATTTACCCCAGACTCACTGTAATACCTGAATAGGATGCAACTTACCACGTGTACTGCTACATATATAGGGGCCTGGACCACATAAACACTAAAAACATCAGTGTAAAGCTGGACAATTGTTCACCATTTATTTCACAACCATCTATACTTGTGGCCTATTCTGACAAACAGAACACAGACATGACAGTCTTCATCAGATCCCTTTCAAACCAGAGAATAACTACCACGAGAATAACATTTTATACAGTATTTCTCAGACAAGCTCTACTGTGCCACTGGGGACATTATTCCAAATTTATTGCACTGCAATGGAAAGTAACTAAACACAAGGACACTATCCATGCCTTTTGAAGCCCCTAAGTCTTAGATCACTGAAAGTTCGAAGGACCTTTATCACTACAGACTTTCTTCTTCCCTAGGCACTGGCTGTTGGTCACTGAGTTGGATGAACTTCTTGTCTAATCCAGTACAGCCAGTCTTACTTCCTCCAGATTTCCTTATTCTACTGCCAAACTAGACTAGCCAGACGTTTGTTCTTACCTGGTGAAGGCCTCATGCTTTAGAGCTCACACACTGCTCAACTGTCTAGTGTGGAAAGCACTAACTTTCATTTTCAATCTCTCTCAATATTTGCATAAGTTTGCCCAACTTAATTTTGATAACAGTCACTTCCTGAAGTGCAAATGAATTCTGAATTTTCTACCCACTTTTTGTTGCTCTCAACAGCCATGCCTTTTTCCAAAATGCTATTCTTTAACATCTCAGTTATGGTATTTAGGCCAGTTAGCCTCAAAGGGCAGGACTAATACCAGAAGTTTAAAGCTATAACAATACAATAGAGACCTAGGCACTTCTGCTACAGTAATGCATGTTTTTTGATGTTCATACAAGGGTTTCTGACAAAAGATGCTTTACCAGATCCCATAAATACTCACATTCATGAAAGTACGTGAGAAGACACGGAATAAATTTAGTTTGCTAGGCTCCCAAATAAACATATCTCTAGCTCCTTTCTCTCATTCCTGCAGCTAGAAGGGAGATAGCATCCACATCTCATATGCCTTTTATTAGCATCTTCTGATTTCAGCCCAATTCAACTCCAAACTTTCTGTGGATGGTGGGGGGGGTGAGGCGACAGGGGAAGATTTGTAGCTGCATGTTTAAGAAAGAAGCTAAATTCATCACAATGACAGGGGAGAGTGTTGGCAGAGATTTGAGCTATTTATTCTTTTAGGAAAATACTATAAAGAATGACACGAGGAAGCCTCTATCTGCAGTCTTGTTCATCACACTGGTGAGGAGTCCGATAACAGATGTATGCAGTAGCGTGATTTAGTGCCGGGAGCTGGCCCCTGATGTGTATTAATACAGCGGCAAAGCGGAACGAGCCCCTCTTCATCACTCATCTCTATAAAAGAGGTGGAATCCGAGATGGCCCGATGTTCGGCAGAGCAAGCCCATTTGTTCTGCTGACTGATGGAGCCAGCTCAGGCTGTGTCCTTCACCTCCATGGGGCACTCAGGTTGCAAAAAAGGAGATCACTGAAGCAGGACCTGGTCAACAAGTGAGACAAGAGCAGTTGGACTCAGCTAAGGAGCTATTTAAAGGTGAAGAAATCCAGCACTCTGTGTGCCTGCAGTGACAGGCATGGGCCTGCATTCTGATTCACCTGTGTTTCATCCTTTGCAGAAGTAAAACACCACAAACATAAAAAGCCTCTGTGGTGAGAAAATGAGGCTGCCATGATTCCTCAGGTAGAGGGGAACCCCAGTGTAAGACATTTATGTAGGGGCGAGTAGATGCATGGCAAGGGAGAAAAATCTGTATCTATCTCATCAATGTCTAACAAGCATAACAGTCTTCAGTTAATTCTACATTATTGCAGAGTAATCCTGTGTATTTCTTTAGATATTAGTAATTCCACAGTCGGATCGCCTTTGACAGAAACAATATCAGATTTCAGAAGTTTCCAAGTTACATGCTTGTGCTCCAGATGCAATTGGGAGACTGCCGTAGAAAGTCAGCTAAGACACAGCTTCAGCTACCCAATCCTAAAAGTTTCTTTCTGCAAGTCGGTATTGCAGCAAACCCTGCCCATAGCTGTTAGCTTTGCTGGGGATATTTCTAAACAGGGTCTAAGGAAGAGATCTTTACCATTTCTGACCCGTAAAGACCTTGCAGCACTTTTCTGTTGGTGATCAGCACAAGCATCCTGTCTGGATTCCAGTAACTACATGCTCCTTCCTTATTTTGTAATACATATTCTAATTTTCTCCCCCTCATTCCTAAAAAAAAAAAGCCAAAAACCAACCAAACAAAAAACTATCAAAACACCTTTCAAACCTCTGTGCTATTTTCCAGTGCTGAGTTCCGCTCCAGATGCAGATTCAACTCTTCAAAAAGTGTTCACTATACAATTTGCCTTGTCAGGTAAGTACAATTTACATAATATTTTGAAACATGTAGGCATAGAAATAGAAGCTGTCCCTATAGAAAGCAACCAGCAATGCAGTACAGAATACACTCTGGACAATAAATAAATGGACAGGTAACAGGGGACAGTGAGACACTATTATTCATACCAAGAAAACCTAGTATCCCAGAACTAAAATTCTGTGGCTACAGATACATGATTTTACCAACGCCTTCACTACAGAAGTTTGAATATCCTAGCACGGAATACTCAAAAGCCAGGAAAGAATACCCTAAATAAACAGTCAATAACAGATGACGCTTTTGCTGAGCAACAGATTATTAATTTAATGCTTTTTTCTCTTCTTTTTTAATACAGAACCTTACAGACAGTCTGTAATCCAGATCTGTGTTCTGGAGAGCTAGCACAGCTTTCTTCCCTACTTCATTATTCTACTGTCTATCCACCAGCCCAAGGAAGAAATCCAAACTTCATTCCTCCTATTTCATCATCAGTTCCTTTGGCCTTCCCCACTGTTTTCACATCACCATTTTTCCCATCAGCCTACCCACTGCCTTCTTGCTGGATTACAACAACAGTTTTTTAATAAGCTAGTTAGAAGAACTTGGGTTGCTTGATAGTAGGCAAAATATTTCAAGAGGGGGTAGGGTGAGAGGCCAGAAAGAAGTCTCCTAAACCCCTCTGTGTTCTACAGATTAAAACTTTTTCAGATTCTGAGGACTAATCAATCACTTTCCAGAAATATGCCACATGAAAATAAACCAGCATTTTAATCACTACATCCCCAGAGCAAGAAAAAGAGAAGTGACTATTTTCATCCACAAGAGTAAGACAACTCCCAGGGAACCGGTGGTCTCACCCAGTGATGATACAAAAATTGCCAGATTTCTGCTCCTGTGAAAGTGTCTAGAAACACCCTGAAAAAGGGCACGAGAGCTAATGTTAGCCCAACACTGAAGGAACACAATTTGTATAGTGATCACCTCCCTATTACCGTGTACTGCATAATTTAGGAACGGTGGAAATAACACCTTATGAAGAAACAGATTATTACCCACTGTACAGCGAAGCACTGTAAATTATATTAACTTACCATAGCTGCATCATCAAAGATTTGTTTAGTAGGCAGCTTTTGATGCTATGCACATGATATTCTCTTTTACACATTGCCTTTCTCACACACGTTTCATTAGTTTCAAATCAAGGTAATGCTATGTTTGACTACTGTGACTCTGGCACTTTGCTCAAGAGGGACATGACTTTAGAAATGCTGGCACAAAGATAAATCCAGGTTACCTGATGTTGGGCTGGACATGGAGGCTGCAACTGGCTTTCGCTTCCTCTTGATGTCCCTTGAACATGGTGGTCCCAGGTGTACATTTGCTTGCCTATAGAGAAATTAAACCAAATTAAACTCTGTTCCAGCATCACCTTCCTGTAAGACTCTGGTCAATCAACCTCCAACTCCCACCTTCCCATCAGCTTCTTAACTAGTAGGCAGCACAAATCAAAAGCTTCTCAGGGAAGTTTTGCTCACATTCTTCAATAATATACCATTATGCTCCCATTTCTTTTAAGAGCTCATGCACATAAACTGCTCAGAAGAATAATTATTTCTTAGCCTTGTTTTGTATTAACTTTAAAATAACTCTTTGCATAAGTAAAGATGTGATCAAGCAGTGATACGACACATGTCCTACCATTACTTCTATAAAGCATAACAAGCATCTGCAAGATTGCTTTTTAAAGAAATGGTGTGATATTTGCTCCCTTATTCAGTAATTACTTTGCAACCTATTTAGTACTGTAGAGTCATCTTAGAATGTATCTCTATTCCAAACGTCCATGCATATTGTTTCCACTACAGTAGTAAGTTCATAAATTTAGGAATGCAAAACTCGTCTCATGCATTTTCAAAATTATTTCCTTATCAAAGTGCTGTGAAAACAGCTGAATCTGGCTTATGGTAATACAGCCTTGCTGCACCTGTAAACTGGCTGAAAGGCATAATCTGTCCTGGTCATATCAACTGTTAAGTCTGAAGCCTACTGATGACCACTTCAGTTTAACCATTTGCCAATTAAGAAGAAACCTGCATTATTGGGACTGACTTGAACTGAGCACTCCTCCAAGTTCTAGACATAGAAGAGAAGTTTAATTCAGAAAAGACAGTCTTGGCAGCAGACCAGAGAACTTTCTCAAATACAATCCATAATGAATACAAATGCATAATTTAGCAATGACGTTGGGTTCAAATCCCTGCTTTGTCTGAGATAAGAGTTTCTTTGGCAAGTTCCTTGGTCACTCTCTGCATCAGATCTGACATGCAAAATGCAGAACTACAGTGCAAATAAAACCCATTAAAGATTGTGAGGTGCTTGCATGGTATAAAGATTGGAACCATATAAATTTTGATGATTAAGTGATAAAAAGCTTCTGTGTCTTTAAAGCTTGTTATTTTGATTAAAAAAAAAATCCTGAAAGTTTAACAAACTCATTTATCAAGTACTGAAATCTTTTACAGATAACAAAAGGAAAAGTTCATGGCTTCATATTTCCATGCCAAAATCTATTTAAAAAAAAAGAAAAAGCAGCATATTTATAATTTTAGATGCTGAATTTATGCAAAACCAAAGTGTACTGTTGTAGCTATACAGAACAGTGTAGGGAGAGCAAAAAATTTCCTATGACAGCCAAGACTATAAATTGTTTGAATGCTGCTGGGTCTACCTACTTACCTGTAACAAATGTGCAACCACAAAATAAGAAAGAAATATCTACCATTCTGTCTTCTCAACTAAAATTCAAAAGTTCTACAAGAAGTCTACAGATCTGTCATCTAAATTTGACATTTAGGAATAGTTTCAAAAATTTTTTAAATTGTGCTAAGTTTCGCTGACAGCCAATTTTTCAAATCAGGGAATGCATATTAATATAACCAGACACAGAAGTCTCCTGAAATAATGAACTACAGGCTTTCAAAAGTACCAGGACACCTATAGACTGCATGTTCAAATCTCATGTTTGTATACATAAGTGACTAACCTCTAAGTGACTTCACATATGCTAAAAACTGCTTTTTTACAGGATTATGATAGTGGCTATATAGTATTTTAACAGAGTTCTACCGTGTATTCTGAAACATCTAGGCACACAGAGCCCAAGGAAAAGACAGTCTAAATCAAGTGGAACTTCAGTTTTTTATTTTGCATCAGTGACACAGTATTAGATTACTAACTAGATGACTACATAATTACATATAATAATCCAACTCATTTTATCAGATAATAATAATAAGGTTCCCTTTTTAATTTTATGAACTTACACCAACATTAGCCAGCTGACCCTTGGTGGAGAATCACTACGGACTAGGAAAGAAGCATGCACTATCACTTCCAAGAGACCTTATGCAATTTTTCCCAGTTCACAAATGTTACAGCTAGGTTTTGAATAAGAGCTCCTGGCTCTCAGCTCCATGCTCAAACCACATCTACCCTTACCTCGATTACACAGGGGGTAAAAAAAAAAGAAACATGAAACCAGAATATGAGAATCTCAGAATTCCTTCGTGTAGTGAAAATAAAGGCAAATCATATTCCAGCTGGAGACTAACAGCAAGGACGCTGCATCTAGCAGCCCTGCCTCTAACACACAAAGGCTCAGAGGTCATAAATTGTCTCTGTAACATGTATTTCATTCAGGTTTATCCCTTATTGATCACCCACACTTCAGTTAGTAAATCAGGAACCTATTGATTACTCACTGGCTCTGACTGACCTGGTAGTAAAAGTGTCATTTTCAAGTGGCTGGTGCACTTTACGGGCACCATAAATCTGCATACAGGGAATCTCCAGGTGGTAGGTACCTTGGGAGAGAGAAGAGCAAAAGAATGCACGCAGGGATGATAGTCCTCATTAAGACACGGACAGAAAGGGTGTCTGAGGTATAATTTATGAAATATGCATTTTTTGGTAGATACCACACTTTTCAATCTAAATTTCTAACCACTAGCTCGCATACAGGTGCTATATCAGTAAGAGAATAGAATTGGTGAATCCCAAGTTTAACAGCAGACTCCTAGAAACACCACCACTGGGAAAGTCAGGTCATGGGTATGCACAGCACACAACATTGTCGTGGACAGGCTGAACTATAAATTATGAAAGTCTCACTGACAGGCTGCAACCATGAATTAGTTTTTCTGCCAAAGTTGAATTTTAACAACTCTTCTGAACAGTTTAAAAATGACTCTGAAGTAGAATAGAACAGGGCTGAGAGGAAAGGCTGACAGAAAATGCACATTCATGCATTATCACAAGCCCCTCTGTGAAGAAGTCTGAGGCACAGAGCTTCGTGGGATGAAAGATCTGGGCCTAAACTGAGAAACTAGAACAGTACTTACTCTGTCGTTACTGGCTTTCAATCTCTTCTGCTAGGCTTCTATACTTTCTTCAATGTCGCACAAACAGTAATGAGAAAATAACTGCCTGGTTACTTTTGGATTATGGCTGGTTGATCATAAGAAAAAAAAACAAAGTCGTAGTGCTCAGTCACAGTTGGATCTGCTAGGTGACCAGAGACTAACGTGAAAACCTAGTTTACAGTCTACAGAGGACTGACATTCTAACCTGGGAAGAGAAAAAGCAGAACACACCTGGAGAGATAAAGCAGGATCCAAAGTGCAGCTACGCTGATGGCTGCAATATATTCAACTCACACTGCAGCCTCTCACTGCCAGGAGTTAGTGAATGAAAAATTACATACATATAGACAAAATTGTTTTATATGAAAAAAGGTCTACAGTGTCTTTCTGACAGTGATGATTTTTTTTTTTTTTAATCACAAGCTAAAGGAATTATCCAGGAAATACGGATTTGTCTCTTGTTCTTAACATAGTACTTAAGGCACCGGATTCTGCATGCAGGTCACGCTGGAGAAAAAGCGGGCTTTGCTATGCAGAAAGCTGAGATTCATTGCTGTCTCTGTGTCAGAAGTAATGCTTCCTTTCTTTTCTTTTCCACATATATATTCTATGACTTTAGTTTTGTTTTTTTTTTTTCTTTTAAATGAATTGTAATTGCATACACCGGACTCCTATTTCACTCCTACAGTCCAAGGTGACCACGTGCTGCACTATAGGGTCACAGGAGCTTGCCACTATTTTACATCTACCACAGGGTTTCAACAGAAAATTAGGATTGGCAGTACAATCTGTGGGAGACAATACAGAGCACAAGTAGACAGCAGCCCACAAAGAACCTTACTGAACAGCATCAGGCCCCTGAAACCTTCACTACCTGTGAAGAAAAGTCTAGATTCTAAAGTGATGTCCACTCTCTCAAAATTTGGGGTAAAAAAAAACACAACGGAGGGCTCTGAGAAGACCCTATAGAGCTAATTGCGACAATCTGCGGCCTTCTTGGAGGCAGGAGGCAAAAAAACACAACGGAGGGCTCTGAGAAGACCCTATAGAGCTAATTGTGACAATCTGTGGCCTTCTTGGAGGCAGGAGGCACATCGCACACTTGGGGGTGTATGCCTCTCGCTGTAATCTCACATCATCCAGCTTCTAACCCTATCCTTGGAGGAAGCAAAGCACTTAGATTATGTATTGAGAGGCAGCCATTAATCTACTGTCATACAAACAAGGGATGCTATTATCCTCATGTTAAAGTAAATGTTCAACAGAGACAGCCTTTTAACAAGGATACTGCTACTAAAACTCCACACAACCCAGCTGTTGCTGTTGTGATGCTATATTCCCAGCAAACACAGGCCAAACAAAAGGCTCTCTCTCTAAGCCCTGAAGTGTTACCTGAGGCTGTTGATGGTGGCTTCACAAAATTAACAGTAAAAGCAGAGTTCTTCCTCCTCTTTGACTATAGAGCCAGCTGGGCACCAAAGTCTGATCTGCACATAACAGGTGTAAATCAATAAAAGTCGCTCATCCAATCTGCACGCGAAGCTCCCATGTATGCAAGTGGTTCTTGCAATCACATCACACTGCAGGTATTTCCTGTGCATAGCAGTCTCCTCTGCCCTGCAGAGCCTCATGGGAGAGCTTCTAGAGCACATTTTCAGATTCCAAAAATCACTAACACGTCAGCTCACTTCTTAAATAATCCAAATCTCATAGGTCTTCATGCAGCAGCAGTCTGTTCCCCAAGTAAGCATTCTAATGACGTAGCAATTCCATTCCTAAAAGTCTGTGTGTGGCAAATGCAAGTGAACACATTTTCTTCTAGTTTTCCAGGTAAGCATTCCAAGCAGAGACGATGTGATCCCATATATTGCATTCTCTATTTTCATACTGAATCACACGATATCTGTGCTAGAAAGAGTCCAAATATTTGCCAGACCTGCTGAGTACACAGATTTGATAATGGCAACATGCTTTATAGGCAAAGAAAGCAATAGCAAGTAAACAAAATTCTGAAGCCAAGGGGAATTTATTTTTCACTCCAGAGAATTAGGATTCACCAAAATGGGAGCATTAGGCCTCAGACAACTGCATGTGACACTAGGTTGATAGCTGCTGTTCATTGCATGCCTGTCAGAAGAATTCAGTTATATCCCCAACTGCAATATTAGCCAGGCTTTAGCACAGGAAGACATGAAAGTGCTCCAGTGAAATGGAAAAAGATTTTTAAAAAAACTAGGGAGAAAGATGCCTAAAGCAGTTGACAGCAGACATTTTTACATGAAGACAATTCCAGGAAGATGAAGATGTGTGGATAGGTTGCGTGGAATGAACTAGACACTGTCCTGGGCAAGTGGGACAGCATGAAATCATGAACATCCGTTCACTGCTTCAGCTGCCTCAGGAAAGGCTTGACGTTGCGGGCTAGAGCTATTCAAGCCTTTTCACTCTAACACCACCACCAAATCCAGGGTATGGAACAACTGGCAGTTTACTAGGAGATGATCACTCACCCCTTTAGATCTTTATCCCATGTTCTAGGCAAGATGAGAGACTTACTTCTAAACCAAATTAAACCCTAGGTTTACGGTTAATATCAACTGAGAGTACATGCAAAGCAGTTTTCTTCGATTCATCTGTACTGTTCAGAGGTGTCTCTAACATAATTCTTCAAATCTCCACCTTCAACATCTACTTGCCATCTGAGGTCCACTTTTCCTATGACCTCTAGTGGGAACATTTAATTGAGTTTTTCACCTATAACCCTATTTTCAAGGCAAGGCAAACAGTAAATGGCATTAGGGACAGTTTATCTTCTGCCTTCCTCTCTTATTCTACCTGCTATTCAAACTCAAATTGAAGGGAACATTGGCTCTAGGCTCTTCTGAAACTCCTACCCTGCCTCAAGGGAATAACATTCCACCAACCAACAACCCATAACATCTTCCCACTGACAGAGCGATTGAGTAACCAAAATCTAATAAGATATTCCACTTGAGCCTGTACAAGATCCTCTTAAGTAGAAGGAGTTCAAGAAGAAAATTCTGTTCAGACCACTCCTTTCTCCCAGAAAGGCAAATGGGCAGAGGGGAAAGAGGGGAAGGATCACTTGGGCTGTCCATGCAAGTGTCTACTTGCTTGCTTTTAACAGCCTGCATCGTCAAGCCGAAACCTTAACAGACAAGACATGATTAGCAAATGCTTTGTGCTCTTAAAGGAGAGTAATTATAGGCATGTGAAAAAAGGAAGGGATCCCTGAGGTACTCTTCCTTGCATGCCTCCCGAGAGGAAGCAGGGCCATTAAAAATTCCATGATGAAGAGGAAAAACAGCCTGGGAACAGCCAGGAGGCAATACAGCAAATTAATACACCAACCGTCCCTCGGGAAGACTGCAAGAAAGCAGGAAACTCTCCTTGCTTCACAAAATAAAATTATACCACTAATGATAACAGTCACCACACACACAAAACTGCTTCTAATGATGGGTGTGAAATTCCCAGTGCCGTGCATACACTTTGAATGAAATCTCTTCTCATCACAGACATAAAGAAAGGTAATCTTGGTAGTGTACAATTTATACGGTCTTTCAAATAAGACTTCCCAAGGAACCCTTCACATAGAACCTCCTCCTTGACACTGAAAAGCCTGTCTTGAACACTCCCAACTGTGCTCAGTATTCTGGCCTTCAGCTCTGCTTAAACGAAGCACTGGGTTACCAGTCTTCCAGATGAACTGCACTTCCAGATGAACTGCGCCAAAATCCACCACTGAGACAAAGAAAACATTTTCATAGGAGAGAAAAGACTCCACCTGGTAACTATACTCCATTGGACACATCTGTGATAGCAGAAACTGAACAGAGAGAGGTAATTTTGCATGGCACGATGGGCATCAGGTTGAAGAAACTGGATGTCCGCAACATCAAGACAGTTTCTTCTCTAATACATTTCATATAATTCTCAGGGGATTAGCTTCCCCGACACACACACCATTCTGACAGATTTCCGAGTAGAGTTTCTCCAGGATGAGGTGCAAGCTGTTAGGAGCTTACTAAAGCACAAACTACTGGAATTGACTCCATCCATGGCAAAAGAGGAAGACATTAACTGGGGCAATGGCTGAACAGCACTTACAGAGATCACCTGAACCTCCTGTAAGAAAATGGACTACCAATAGGCTTAGCTCTTGAAGCACCTAAAGAACAACTGTTGTCAAGAAAACGTTTCTGTGAAGGAACAATTTCCTTCCATGCACTTGGCAGCATCTTTACATAAAGCAAGCAACTTGCACTGAGGAGTTCAATCCTTGCCACATACATGCGGCCACATAACACATTCATTCTCTCCATATTTCTTTCTCCTATAAAGATTCTTGAGCACATTTCACACTAAAATAGGAACTACTTTCTCAAACTACAGGCACTTAAAAACACAGCCGCCTCTGGGATGGGACAACTTCTCTGCCAACATCCAGTAACAATTCATTGGGGATCATGTTTGTCAGGACACCAGCCACCTGTTCATTAGAGGAAGGAACCAAGCATATATTCCTTGGTTAACTAGACTACATATTCAGCAAAACCAAGCAAACATGATCCCTCCAGGTTTAGAAATCCCTTGCCATAACCAGTAGCTTTGGAAAGGGCCTTCACTGATCATCATAAGGGTAGAGACTTTGCCCTGTTTGAATTTGTGAGCAGGATTTGTCTAGCTCTCCTTTCTGGAAGACAAACTTCTGTAGAGCGCTAAGTAAAACACTTGAGGCACAAGGAAGGTTATCCTAGCTGTAAATGAAGAGACCAATCAATCTTCTTGCTTCATGGGCACAAAACATCCCCAGACTGGGGCAAAAGCACAGAAAGAAACCAATTTGCTGATGCACAATCTTCTGAATTCTTTTTATTCTCATCCAGTTGAATGTTTAAGAGCTGATTTCTTCCTCCCTCTCCCTTTCCAGCTTTATCATGCTGGCTACAGCAGCATGAGGTCATGGTGCGACATCACAAAATTCCCTGCAGAAGCCAGTGGGAGGAGAGGCTTTGCTGGGTGGGTGCCAAGCTTTCGTTCAGACACATACAACCTCAGTACATTTTTCATGCTCTATTTGCTAATTAACAAGGGAAAGAAAATGATGAAGCTGAAAGTCCAGACGTTTCTTTCAGATTTGGTCCTTCGTACAAGCACATAAGCAGAATTGTGTCCCAAGCAAGGCTCTGTCTCCTAAGAGCTCAAGGGCACCTTACCTTTAGATAGTCACCTGCAGCTGAAGAACAGGAGTCACCTCCAAGGCCAACACTTGAATTTAATTTAGGATTAGTCAGCAGAAGGTGCCTGAATAGCATATTAACCCCAACTATGCAGACTCAAATATTCCTCAACATTTGGCCAGACCAGATATAAATTTCAGCTACAGCAATAAAGAGACATATCAAGCCATTAGACGTCACCTCAGGTGAGTTCTGAATCTGTTCAGAGGGTCTATTTTAGGCACCCAGAATTCCAAAATGCCTCAGCATGTCACCTACACGAGCTTGTCAGCACTACTCCTCTCATCTTGTTCCGATTTTAATAGTGGGCAACAATACTATGCCTATTTGTACCTTGTGCTGGTTTTGGCTGGGATAGAGTTAATTTTCTTCACAGTAGCTAGTATGGGGCTGTGTTTTGGATTTGTGATGAAAACAGTGTTGATAACACGGGGATGTTTTCATTATTGCTGAGCAGTGCTTACACAGAGCCAAGGCCTTTTCTGCTTCTCACACCACTCCACCAGTGAGCAGGCTGGGGGTGCATAAGTAGTTGGGAGGGGACACAGCCAGGACAGCTGACCCCAACTGACCAAAGGGATATGCCACACCATATGACGTCATGCTCAGCATATAAAGCTGGGGGAAGAAGAAGGAAGGGGGGACGTTCAGAATTATGGCATTTTGTCATAGTAACTTTGTCCCAAGTAACTGTTACACGTGATGGAGCCCTGCTTTCCTGGAGATGGCTGAACACCTGCCTGCCGATGGGAAGTAGCGAGTGAATTCCTTGGTTTGCTTTGCTTGTGTGCGCGGCTTTTGCTTTACCTATTAAACTGTCTTTATCTCAACCCATGTGTTTTCTCACTTTTACTCTTCTGATTCTCTCCCCCATCCCACCGAGGGGGAGTGAGCGAGCAGCTGTGTGGTGCTCAGTTGCTGGCTGGGGTTAAACCACGACATACCTATACAACACACTTGCAGCAACTCACTGCACAATCCAGGACAGATCAGATTTATTTCTAAAAGCACAGTATGTTCCGCCTGTCTGTCATACCCTGTTTCATATACTCTAAGTGCTTAGTGTACTGAGACTCTCAAATAATCTGCATCAGTGTGTTTTATGCTAAGTTTGAACACAGGTCTCCTTGGGAAAAGTGCATTAACCTCCAGGTCCACAATTATTGTTCAGACCACATAGTACTACCAAAGATAACCATGGAAGGGAAGTGAGACAACCCCAACAGAGCAGAGCAAGGGAGTTACCTGGCAGTGCAGCGTGCTGGTGAGCATCTTCGGTGGGAAGCATCAGCAAGCACATCCAGAGAGTACAGAGGAGATAATGGATTGAACTGGAAAGTCAAGAGATTTTATTTAAGCAAAGCGCAAAAAGAAATAGTCTCCAGATACAGCTGCTCAGATCTATTCTCTACAGTTGTTCATACAGTACAAGGAGACCTTTCCAACGCATCAAGGGGTGAGACTAGACGAGAACTGACTCTCACTTCAGACAAAAGGCTAGCACGGGATGCAACAGCAAATCTCATAACCATCTTCTCACAACAGACAGCCTTATAAGCACACTCCTCTTTCAACTCGCATTATTACAAATTCTGGTTGACTAACAGCATAGTCAAAGAGCTCAACTGCTGCATGCCATGAGCAAAAAGTCTGCTTCCCTTTCGGGAAAGCCTCTTGTCTACCTTCACATTGTAGAGAGAAAAGTCATTGTTATGAATGGTGCAAGCACAGAACCTCCCACAGAGCAGTTCCAATATTCCCTACGGTCGTATGTATCACTAAAACAGACCTCTAGAAGACTCAGGCCCACCAGGTTCAGCTCACAATGAGCTCCCAATTCATTCTACAGCAAGTGAGCTGGTCCTTCCACTCCCAACCCACCTCACAAGCTTTCTCTGCAAACTGCTTAAAACAAACTTCTGAAACACTGCATGGTCAGGCTAATCTTAGATCCTTTGTTAGACATACACTAGACAAATCCTGAAGGCATCAAACAGACAGCTTTTTGTAGAAGATGCAACTGTTAAGATTTTTTTTTTAAAGGTCAGGACAGAAATGGAATAATCTAGTCAATCAATGCATGGAGCAAACTTTGCTCAATATGCAAATAGAAGGTTTAGACTGGTAGTTTCTCTGGGGTACCTGCATTACATTTCCATTCAGCATCTCCTCTTTATAATTCACACAACAAGCAGGAAATTCATTTCCATGTGCTTTGCAAAGTGCTACACCAATCTCCAGAACACTTTTCTTGTATTACTAAGATTACTGATGTGTTTTTAAATAAAAGCTATCTGCAACTCTAGAACACTAGGCCTTGGACTTCAACCTTTCTGAGAAAGAAGAGGCACTATGAACCACAAAGCTGCTGCTATCAGGGAGCTCCTCCTTAAGTTGGACTGTTAGTTTACTGTCAGTGAAGTAACACTGCAGCTGCACAGTAGGGGAGAATTACCAGTAACCCTCTGTATCTGATTCAAGTTCATTTAAGAAAAATTTATTTTGGTCATTTTAAAGCTTATGTAGTTATCATTCTTATCTTTAGCAATATAAAAGTGGTATGTGGTATGTTCTTATTAACAGAAAATACACAATTGCACAAAGGCCTGAGAATTATTTCTTGCTATATATGTATTTTTAGTCACCTGAAGGGTAAAACAGATTTCAATCCTACTGCTCACCAACCAAAAACCAACTTGCAAAGGAATAGAAGGGAGCATGCATGGCTAGGAACACTGTAACAACACGACTGCTCAAATGGAAGATCCTTTTTGCTTTCTGCTATCAGGAAACCGAGCTCTTATATCTTAAGTAAAAAAGCCTTCTAGCACTGAAGCTATGAAAGACTTACTGAAGAATATAAAACAAAGAGTTTTAGCTAAAAGAATGTCTATTTCTCTTGCTTATCACCTCTTACATTTTCCTGTTACAGCTGCTATTTAATTACAATCAGCTCACCATTTTTTTCCCTTCTCTGTTGATGAGACTATCAGGTAGAAGCCTGAGCCAAACAAGACAAAACAAAGCATTTAAAAAAAGAAAAACGTTCCAATTCTTACGGAATTTTGAGAGGCCAAAGTTCCTCCTGCCAAGAGGCATTTTCCCTCCCACTCACTGTCAGAGAGGAAGGCCTACACTAACCTGAAACAGGGAGATAAACAAGAGGAGCTCCTAAGCTATTCAGTTTAAACAGACAATATGCCAGAGACATGGGTTGTGTTCAAAGCCCAGAAGACATCAGTTACCAAAATGAGAAGGGATAGGGATGCCTTACCTCATGTGCACAGGCCACAGTGTGTGGGAAATCAGAAGCCGGCACTTTGTTCTTTCTAGAGAGAAGGAAACCAAGAAAATAAAAAAGGTAGAGCAGAGTCAGCTTACCTGGTTGCGACCTCTCTTCCCCATGGATGGTAACCAAAAACTGGAAGGAGGCAGAGTCGGAAGGACAGGTTAAAGAGAGAAGGGGAAGGGAAGAACAAAGATGGAGGGAGAAGGAGAAAGATTAAACATCAGCAGGATTCATATTAAGAACAATAAATTTCAGATCCAAGGAAGAAAACTGGATACCAACAGCTGGTGAAGGCTGGACCCACTGCACTACAGTCAAGAGGTGCCACCCCTACCTATCCATTGCCCAACAAGAATAGCATTAGAGGGATGCCAAAGGATACGCACCATGACTATTTCCGGTGCTGACTACAATTTAAACACACTAATTGGGGAAGGAGACAGAACACCAAAGAAAGCAAGCAATTTCGCAGCTGCCTTGTCAGCATCATTTCTGCAGTCTGGGTATGCGCCCATAGCATGACTCCACACAGAAGCTTTTTTAACTAACATATAGGGCTCAGTCTTCTCGTACTGTGCAGAAGATCTGCAGTTATTGCAATGGCACATTATAAGGGAGCGGGAAAGAAAAAGCTGACTGTAACCAAAAGGGCATTTGAGCAGTGTTCACACACTGGGGCAGCCTTATAAACAAAAGGGAAGTCAGCAATTGCAAATAAGAAAACGGAAAAGCCATCAGTAGAGGACTGTCTCCCATTCCACAGGTCACTGCATGCTGTTACCACCCAGCTCGTCATTCCCTTCAGTCCCAGGAAGGAAGAGGACCCTATAGCTCTTCCTCCCCTCCCAAAGTTCTGCACAACAGCTGTTAAGGGCCTTACTCTTTCTGGCGCGGATCACTAATATGACCTAGCCTCTCGGTGCCCAGAATGCTCATGGAGGTCTCCTGAAACACAAAGACAGGTAAAAGGTTGCAGACTCTTACACAGTGAGCAGACATAATAGTTTGCTGCTGCCAATAAGAACAGATCTTACTCCCCTGGGCCGCATCCTTTCCTTTCCAGCCCACTCTCAGCTGAACATATTCACCTTCTCCTTTTAGAACCTCAACTGAGCTGATTTAACTAATTAGAATGGCAGAAAATCATTTAGTTTTATTTGTGGGGCTTGGTTTTTATTATTTTAGTGATGATATTTGCTTGCACAGGGGCACACCAAGGACTGGACCTGTACAAAGTCTGCAGCACAAGGATGCAGTTAAGAACAGGGGGAATAGCTGAGAAGTGCTTATTTCCAGGTTGCTGGAGTCAGCTGGGCCAGAAACAGGCTGAGAGACAGGACATCACACTGTCCCACTAACAATGGGGATTCACCAAGCACAGGTGAATGAAACAAGGGGTATGCATGAAGCTTTTGCCCTTTCTGAAAGCAGCAATTCAGCAGTAGGAACTCTAGCAGCTAAAGAAAAGGTAGATCCTAGGAGAAAGGACTTGCTCTGGGAGCACGTTTCTCCCCGTGAGACACTGCCCTGTGCATGTGCTTGATGCTGGCATACGCATACACACACAGCCTGAAGCACCAGCTGTTCATATCTGCATAGCAGCTACCTCCAAGAAAGAAATATACTTTTCAGTAAGGGTCTGAAGAAGAGGGTAAAAGGTTTTCACAGGTGAGATTCTTCACAGTTTGTGCCAGGTACATAGGCAAAACACACCCAAAGTTTGGGGGGAGTTGTAGCAGCAGGGGTGAAAGATGGGCTATTTGTTACAGCAGGAAAATTATTAACTTAAAGTGCCGTAATGTTTAAATTTACGGTTTATTACTGTGTAAATTACAAGCCGTACTTTTGGTAATTAGCAGCTCGCTGGCGGGGAGCTCTGAATGAAACTCATTATTTATGATTACAATTTAGAGAGAGATGGGGAAGGGGGAGCAGTGACCTCCGCTGCAAATGACAAAGATCCCTTTAAGGTGATGAAGATGAATTAAACAAGTAAATATTATCCTTCTCATTTGGATCATTAGAGGTGCTGCCAACAGGCCCAGCCACTTGCAGGTGGCCTGAGGAACCTTACTCAAAGCCACTCTCTTGACAGCTGAGGATTCATATTTTAAACGCTGGTTACAACTAAGCAAGATGAGTGGAAGAAAGAAGGGGCAAACAAGCATCTTTCAAGTGTGACTGAACAGAAGGAAGAAGTCGCACTCCGCTAGACTCTGGGCCCCTCTAACACACCTTGCTAACAGACTCTCTAAAGCCAGTCAGCTCAGAATATATGCTAACATTTTCAAAAGCACAAAGCACATCCCAATAAAAGTAAAGCCAAAAACAGCCAACACCTTCCTTCTCAGAAACGTCTTTTACGACAGACAGCAGCACTCAACACTCCAAGATCTAGACCCGACCAGGTGTATCCCCTCCCTCTGTTAGACAGGCTTCTGCAAAGTATTGCTTATTCCTTTAGAAACTGCACTAATATTTTGTTTGTTGTCTGCCCTACATATAATAAACCTAGTGAATGGCTCTGGGTAACTTTGTCTGCATTATTGCATATACACTTTTATTCTTCTGTCTCCCCACTAAAAATGCCAATTGCTAAAACCACGTTCCTTTGCTGCCATTCATATCAGTCTGCTTCCCTATCCAAAATTTGGCCTTCATTCACCTTTGAGTCACCTCTCTGCCCTTGTAGTCTCAGATTATGAGCATGCACAAGTCTTATGCCATCATCATTTTCCCCTACATTCTGTCTAAATCTTCTTGATATTTATGCTCCCTGTCATTCATCTTCAGACCTCCTTTCATACTGCTTTTAGCACTGATCAACTGTCTTTGCCACTCCAAACCTGCCTTAAAATCCTCTTAGTCACTCAATCAACTTCTGACAGTCAAAGCAGTTAAATCAAACAATACAAGAAACAGAAAATGTACACGGCCCCTTTCTGCAGAAAACAATTCACATGATATCTTAGAATAGTACTTCAGGACTGATCAGCATTGGAAATACAAAATTATTATCCTGCAAAAGGGAATACCTTGCCAACAAGCCTCCTCCGACCTTTTCTGAGACAACGGGCAGCAGCTCCTGGAAGGCGATTCAGGCGAGCATGAAATCCTGAAAACCAAACCCAGAAAAACTGAGCAACGAATACAGAAGATTCTTCCTGATAAAACCACTGGGAAAAACAGTTAGTTCAGTGGTCAAATCAGCTCCTCTGTCTCTTGTTTCTCAATCTGCAAGAGGTAGATATGCCAAAAGAAGACTCAAGAATGTGGGCAGCTGGTATGAGTATTTTAGTATCCTCTCCAGTAGCGCAGCTATTTTTAATTGGATCATTAAAAGAAAACAGATCACTAATATCAGTTTAAATTGCAGCACCTATGAACAGAATCTACTCTTGCCATCACATCAGAAGTTCTCAAACACATGGCAATCCTTATGGACCTCACCTCTCTGAGCTGGCCGCGAGGGCAAAAGGAACGTGGAATCTGAGAGCTTGTCCAGGCCCGAGTCAATCCGCTCCACTTCAGATCGGTGGTCAGCTCCCCACTTGGGAAGAAGGTTGGGGACAGTGAATCCTGGAACACATTCTCCTTCATAAAACCAATCACTTTGCTCATCATCTCCTAAAGAAATAGGACGGAATTAGCCACAAGTAACATCAATGTGCCCTCTGACAGTCCCACAAAATACTACAGGTAGGCATTTCTGGATGTGAAATAGCTGAAGTCTCATTAGGAATTCCTTCCTGAAGAGCCTTATATTTGTATTCTGTTTCAATGATCTGCAGTAACTATGGGGCCTCACTAAATGCTTTAAACTATCCAACTCATCAGTCTACAGAATTTCCCTATAGAACAAAGCCCTCTTTATAGACCTGCCTAGGGCAGCTTTAGCACTCTGTTGCAAACGCATCTCATCAACCTTAGTTCAATGTTGTGTGATGTCTTATGCACAACTCTTTCTCCGAAGTAATTACAGTGACAGAGGTAGAGGCCAATCATTTGGCACATGTTATAGGCTGTCACGGGAGAGACTTCACAACAGGAGAAGACCAGGCTCACAGGGTAAGCACAGGGAGCATACTCACTGATGAGAAAGATCCCTAGTCTCCTAAGACAGCAGCTAAGAGGAAAACACACAACAGTCTGAGTGTAAGTACTAACCATGCTGTGAGTCTGTCTCAATCAAAATTTCTTAGAATCTGTCAGAACTACAAACCCTCTGCAAAACTAGAGCAGCAGCAACAGAAATCATAACCAAAGTCTCCATAAAGCAGGGTCACTGTAATTAATGCAGTTGCAGTCTAAAACCGAACTGCATCAGACACCATTCATGGTAAATCTGCCTGGCCAGAAATCCCCTGAGAGCAGTAGCACGTGAGCAGTGTAAGAAAAAGCAGGAAGAGGGCAAAGAACCTGACACACTTAGCTTTTCAGTAGCCCAACTAAGAGAGTCCCATGTAATTGCAAGGTACTTCCCTTAAAAAACTAACACACCTGACCTAGGGAAAACTCTCATTTGCCTACCATTAAGTCTCAACTCAAGCACCCCACTTACTCTCCTTTCCTCACCGAGTTACACTATTCCTGACTGAAGTCCATTAGGCCTACCCACACATCTTGCCAGGCAAAAAAAATAGAAAAAAAAATACAAGAAAAAGAAAAAAATTCATCCTAATAAGAATGCTGCAATCTTGCACATAACAGAAGCAGCAACACCCAAAACCAACTCCAGTCACCAACAGGTGGAACAGCCAGAACACTTCATCCCAAAGCTCTGACATTGCTTTTTATTTCTGTGATGTCAGTTGACCTAGCATGCTTGTGACAAATATATTTTACAATATAAATATCCCTACCTACCTTATAGTAAATTAAAACTAAGTAATGTTGGATAGTTCTTCTAAGTGATCATAATTTGTGCAAAAATATCCCTACAGTTTTGGATCTATGAGCATAGTGCACTGTCATATCTCAAATCACTACTTTCACAAGACAAACTTTAACAATCAGGATCATATGCTAATACCTCAGTAACTTTCACAGTGAGAGATCCCAATGCATTTAAACAAAAAAAAAACCCCTTACAATCAAATTATAAACTAGGACCATTCTCTGCTCACAGAAGCGCACTGGTAGCTGGAATTGCAAAGACAACCTATTTAATTAGCAACAGCACAAATATTACATGACATAACCTCAAAAGAAGGGGGGAAAAAAACTACATTCAATTTAAGTACACTGCTATCTTAAATTACCCATTATTCAGTTTGGAATTGTACTAGAAAACTATTTCTAAGGTGATGATCTGTGACAAAAAAAAAAAAAAAAGTTTTGTGCTCTCTCCATCTCACTGAAGTGGAGAGCTGTTGTCTACTTTTTGACTAGAAATTGTCTAAAAAAAAGGAAAGGCAAGTGTTTCTTATTTAACCTGAAAGTACAACAATATTTTTTAACTCTTTTTAACATAACTAAGATAAAACATCTTGGACAGAAAGCTATTATAGTATAAACTGTTTGAACAGACAGAGGCCTGATGACTAAGATGTCAAATCTCTTCTAGTACCTAGACAGGGAAGGCTGTAATTGGATTTTATTAATTTATTTAAGTAGTATATTCTACTCCATAGAATATACTGTATACTTGTATACTGGGTATCCTACTTTTAGTAGCAGCCGAAAGTTAATGCCTAAAACAGGGTGTAAAACCAGGGCAAGTATATAGGGCAAGCATATAGATAAGTGTATATATCTACTTATCCAGTCTACATCAATCTTGCCTTGTGTGATGAAGGAAAAATTCAACACTTCAGTCACGACCCTGCTTCGTCATCTGATATGCAAGCACTCAGTAATTTCAGCTCGCCCAGAACAGTCATCGGTAAAAAGAGAGGACAAAAGATTTGACTTTTCTGTTGCTTTTGAAGGATGGGAGGCTGGAAACAGTTATTTTTCAGTAAAGGTCAAAGCTGATATTTGAAATCCCTATTCTTAGGCAAAGTACTGTAGCCACCTAAGATCACAACAGATCGGCCCTACAGCCTAACATATAATCAGAAAACATGTAAGCATATTTGCTATCACTGTGTTGCCTCACACACAGAAACCTGGGTCAGTAACAAGCTAGTGGAAGCAGCATTTCCTACTGAGTTACTGATACTACTTCCTTTAGCACTCTCATATTCCCAGAAGAGAACTCATCCAAATCTTAGCTTATGAAATGTGACAGAATCAGAGTGCACACCAGCACAAGCTGCACAGAATTACAGGTGTTTAGGGTCACATTCCACCTGCTCCAAATATAATAGTCCTGAGTGCCTATGTGCCTACTACAACCTCTTTCACACCTACTTTTGCCATATCCCCCATAAACTGGACACTGCGCTGTCACTGATAAATAAAACCAGATTACACTCCACACTCAAACCTCCTAAGAAACCGTTTCTACAACAGGCATTGAAAATACTAGGCTCAACCAGTACTCACAAGAGCAAGGGAGGAACGTGTATTTAAAGAAATAAAACCTATCACATATTACTATCGTCTTCTTAGAACAGTCCGTTAGGTGACTTGTCAGTACTAACTGATTTTTTTTCACATTGCCTCTTCCTGCCCATAGAGAAAACGACTAACAGATTCAGGCACTAATGGCACGTAGACAACAATTAAAACACCTATAGAAACAAATCAAAAGCTCTGCTCTTTCATTATGGAGAGCTCTAAAACTCCTCTTGTATTTCCGTGCCTTTCCATAATAATAGCTTCTTATACTTCAAATGTTATGGATCTGATACACAAAGTATTTCAGCAGTTTAAGAGTGTACTGTTATCAAAATCACACCTTTGTAGCCCTCAGCTAATTTCTTAACTTCTAGCCCCTCCCAGCCACTGGCCTTTCTCCCATACTTCCCTCTCTGTCCCTCTTCAAACACAGATCTTTCTTTGTATTTTTAAAGAAATTAAGAGAAATTCCCCAGCAACACACAAGGAAAATCATAGGACAGTTTTTACCTTGGCGGCCCTCATCATTGGTAAACAGGCCAGTATCACTGCTGCTGCATACGCTGCTGGTTTCACTGGAACAAAAACAAACAAAAAACCCCGTTGTTACAATTGCAGCAGATACAAAACAAAAAACACGTTATTACATTTTACTAGCTTCTCTGAGCCCAAAATGCTTTACACATCTCACAGAAATTGCATTTCAGACACATAGCTGGCTCTAGCATGGGACATAATTGCTTTCTGTTAAAACTTAGCAATGCTGCATCACTTGAAAAAGAGTAGAACCTGTATCTAGCCTAGTTCTAAGTTATCAAAAAGTAATTAATACAACGGCATTTGCCTCGGGTACTAGAGTTAATAACCTAACTATGACATTGTCTGGAATACTCACTAGGAAATTAAGTGCAGTTAAAAACTCTGTCCTTGGGTCACTTAACAGCTACTGAAAACCCTCTGAAGTTTTCTACTTCAGATTCCTTTTTCTCCAAAATGTTATACAGGTACATAAACCCCCCTTCAATCTATGGCAACTTTTATTTTATTTGGAGGGAAGAGCAGCTAGTACATTCACAACTCTTCAGCTAAATACCTTAGCACAGCATGACTTGCTGCTGCTGAATGCAACCTCGTTACAGCACGCTTTGCATTTGCTGAAGCAGTTACAGAAGACTTAATTTTTAAACCAAAGAATTAAACTACTAATTAATGCGTAGAAAGTCGCTAATTGACTGTAAAGCTGGATGAATATTTGTAGCAGAAGCACATGCTCAGGTGAGTCCCAAGCATCTGATGGCTTTAATGCCGATATTAAATCAATCCTTGGACACTTCGGGCAATACTTCCTCTGATTTAGCTGAGAGATATCAGAACAAGCAGAAACTACTTACTGTCCACCCCCTTAGCACTAAGACCTTAGATGCCAACGTCAGGTATAACTCAGCACTAAAATCAATCTCCGATCAGAGCTTGCTGTTAGAAAGCATCTCTGGGTCTCTCTTTTCCAGGGAAATTGGATCACCAGACACCAGTGTCAATTGGAGACCCCTCGATTCAAAAGGGTGAAGGATGAGGGATCACAAGATGCGTCACCCCAAAGAATTGCAGGCACATAATAAAACACCATTTCGTAAGCATGTTATTGCTCTTAGAAAATGCACTCTAGAGTGTAGCCAAATCAACTCATCGTGCTGGATATCTACAAACCCTGCATCTTCATCATTGTATAAAGGCCATTTAAGCTTAAAGGATGAACAGTATGTACATGATTCCCACATTTCAGTATGTAAGTTAATATCAAATTCCAAATCAATCCATTACAAAGTTTGGCCATCCATTCACCCTCCCACATATACACCGTAGCAATTAAGGCCAAGGACTGAGAACCATGAGTCATTCATTTCATTCCTAGCTCTCCTACCAACTCACTGTATGACCCTGGGCAAATCTCTTAGCGTGTCTGCTTTCCCTTTCGAAAGCCTGGATTAACAGTCCTCACAAGCAGCAGATGCGAGGACTGAGTGACTGCTTCATAAGGGTTTTAGCATCCTCAGAGGAAAGGTGCCTGAGAAAGGAAAAAGCATTAAGTCAAGATTCCAGATCATATTAACAGTACTTTAAGTATCCTGTTGTATTGAGCTCTTTAGTTCCTTATAGATACACATTACTGCCAGTGCTTTACTGGAACAAACTTTCACGGATCTCACCCTCTTCACCACTCCTTTTACACTTCAGGGCTGAACACAAACTAGACTCCTACACAAGCCTTTCTGCAGGTCCAGTAAGTACTGATTAATGACCTCCACTTGCAAAGGAGGCTACTTACCTTAACCATGAAATAATGAATGCTATTGATCTGACAAGCTACTGCTATAGAGTGTTATTGATCACCCAATCTTTGGTTAAAATGGTCCTCATTTAGCAATTTCACTGTCGCAAACACCTGGAGCAAAGCATGCTTATAATTAAATAGTTTGGGGGAGTTAAAGTGAGAGGTGATGGACAGAGATCTCAGGTTTCCCCCATTTATTCTTTCGCCTGAGCTATTGTTTGTGTCAGGAGGGATATTGATTTTCTATAAAAATAAGAAAACAAGAGGCACCGAGGGGCTGCAGAAGGTCAGGCTGAGCTGGAGAAGGAGGGGAAGCTGAACACTCTGTCTTTGTCACTTGCCTTCTGAGAGAGGAATTTTTTCTTTACGGAGAGACTGGCCTCCAATTCATCAGCTTAGCCTGGCTCTTGACTGCCACTGCAGGCTGTCATCGAAACAGCTCCCTTCCAAAGGGTAAAGTGACTGTACTGCATACTCAGGATGAGCACTGGTTACACTCCCAGGCCAGAATACTGTACTGGTTTTGGCTGGGATAGAGTTAAATTTTCCTCATAGCAGCTCTATGGGGCTATGTTTTGGACTTGTGACCAAAACAGTGTTGATAACACAGAGATGTTTTAGTTATTGCTGAACAATGCTTAAACAGTGCCAAGGCCTTCTCTGTTTCTCACACCACTCCACCAGTGAGTAGGCTGGGGGTGCACAAGAAGTTGGGAGGGGACACAGCTGGGACAGCTGACCCCAACTGACCAAAGGGATATTCCACATCATACGACGTCATGCTCAGCATATAAAGCTGGGGGAAGAAGGAAGAGGGGACGTTCAGAATTATGGCGTTTGTCTTCCCAGGTAATTGTTACATATGATGGAGCCCTGGTTTCCTAGAAATGGCTAAACATCTGCCTGCCAATGGGAAGCAGTAAATGAATTCCTTGTTTTGCTTTGCTTGCACGCATAGCTTTTGCTTTACCTATTAAATCAACTTTATCTGAACCCATGTGTTTTCTCACTTTTACTCTTCCG